AAATTAGTTCTGCATATTTTTTGAACAATATATCTTTCCTTCTTGTTTATTCATGCTATCTGAAATATCTGAGTGGATTTCAGATTGTTGCTCCATTATCTTTTACAATATAAGTTTTTAGTTGAGAGAGTTTTTTGAAAGGAGAGTTTTTTTATATATTAGGCATTGCCTGCCTTTTTATTTACATATCCCTTCCCTTATATAGAAAGGAATTCTCACGTACTACACTACTTACAATAATGTGCTACTTACACCTACTATTCCTACTACTTACACTTACACATACTATCTTTACACTTGTCCAACACTTGTCCATACTTGCCCATACTTGCCCATACTATTTTTCTTACATTTGTCCATCCTACTTTTAATATGCACATGCACACCGTACTTGCCCATACTATTTTTTTTACATTTGTCCATCCTACTTTTAATATGCACATGCACACCGTACTTGCCCATACTATTTTTTTTACATTTGTCCATCCTACTTTTAATATGCACATGCACACCGTACTTGCCCATACTATTTTTTTTACATTTGTCCATCCTACTTTTAATATGCACATGCACACCGTACTTGCCCATACTATTTTTTTTACATTTGTCCATCCTACTTTTAATATGCACATGCACACCGTACTTGCCCATACTATTTTTTTTACATTTGTCCATCCTACTTTTAATATGCACATGCACACCGTACTTGCCCATACTATTTTTTTTACATTTGTCCATCCTACTTTTAATATGCACATGCACACCGTACTTGCCCATACTATTTTTTTTACATTTGTCCATCCTACTTTTAATATGCACATGCACACCGTACTTGCCCATACTATTTTTTTTACATTTGTCCATCCTACTTTTAATATGCACATGCACACCGTACTTGCCCATACTATTTTTTTTACATTTGTCCATCCTACTTTTAATATGCACATGCACACCGTACTTGCCCATACTATTTTTTTTACATTTGTCCATCCTACTTTTAATATGCACATGCACACTTTCTATGGGTTGTATAATTCTATCATCTGCTAAGTATATTTCTATGGGTGTATCTATTCCTTCTCTAAAACATGCTTTTATTAGTATTTTTGTTCCTCCTAAATGTACATATTTAATTAGATTTTTAGCCTTAATATCTTGTATTTCTTTATTTATTATTCGTTTATTTATTATTGGTATTTTTGCCTTACCTTTAGTGTATTTGCAATCTATGATATGCTTTCTTTGACTAACACTTCCCATATGACTGAAAGAACACAAGGTGAAGAAGAAAATCAACTTGATATTGAGGAGCTACAAAATTACAAAAAAGCTAAGAAAAAGTCACTTGTACTAGCGATGAGTCTTAATCATTTTCTAGAAAAAAAAAGGATACATGTGGGTGAAGAAGAACCTTATATTCAGCTAGCAGATGATGTTAGATCTATGCCATCTCCATGTATTAATGAAAACAATATCGAAGTGGCTGATGGTGTTGCACTAGAAGAAGTTGATGAGTGTGTTCGAGATAAAGATATGGACATAAATTGTTCAAAAGATGGTATGTTTTAAATCTTCTTTTGGTAGTTATATAAGTTTACTCGCATTGTAAATTTTATAGTTGTATAGTATGTTTTATCTTATTTATTTAATATTACATTAAATCAGGAACTTTGGAGAAGAAAAAGGTTCGAGGACACACAACATGTAAGACTATTCATGCAAGAAAATTTGAAGAAATAGAGGAGGTCACATTTGATCATGGACAAGCTGTTTGACCAACTGGAAAAAGAGTGTCTGATTTGAGCAATTTTCTAGGAACAATTGCTAGGAACTCTAGATTCATCACCTTGTTGTATACTAGTTGGCCTGCTATGCCAAAAGATACTAAACTACGCATGTGGAAATATGTCAATGTAATAATACTCAACCTTTTATGTATCTTTTTTTATGTGTATTTTACTAGTAACATATATGTTATTTGTGTAGATCAAGTTTATAATTCCAGCAGAAGGAGAAAAATGGGTGATGGATGGTCTTCGTGATGCTTGGAGGCGACATAAGAGATATGTTAAGGAGAATTATTTTGATAAGTATAAAACACTGGAAGATAGGCTAAAAAATTGTCCTAGTTGGATACCAGAAGTTCAATTTCGCCAGTTGATAGAGTATTGGGAGCTTCCAACCATTAAAGTGAGATACAAATAATGAATTTAATTCTTTAGCCCATATATATTAATTACTTTTTCTTAAATTACAGGCCATGTGTTCTTTAAATTCTCAAAACAGAAAGAAACAAAAATGGAGGCATCGAATGGGGCT